GCATTTCTTGGATGGCGGTGATGTCAGCCTTTGTCTTCCCGAGGACATCAACCAGCCGGGCAGAGGCACCTTCCCCATTAAGGGTCCGGATATTCCAGGTGCATACCCTTAAATCATAGTCCTTTATACGTTTGACCACGGCAAAAGGGGGTCTCATCCGAGGCTTGTTGGAATTTTTCATTGGGCGGGGTTTTAACGTGGCGGGACCCAAACCCAGCGCACGCGAAGTTTTACGCCTTCTCACTTTAGCTCGCTCCCAAACGGGTGTTTGGTTGCTACCCAGAGGATACGTGGATATAAATATCCGGACGTTGTGAGCTGCGATTTGAACCGTACGCACAAGAATCGCTTCTGGCCACTCCCAGGTGAATGGCAGTCAAAAGTTTTCCACTTCTGCGCACGGAACCATCCTCCCCTTATATATTATGCCATGTAAATTTTTTTATTTAAAGGGAAGCTTTCATCATCGCGAGGAAGTTTTCTCCTTCGTTTTAGCAAATGAAGGCATTTCGCCATGCATAGCGAAAACATTCCGCAGAATGAAGGAAACATTTCTCTTTGTTGGACACATACAAATGCATATTTAGTATTTAGATACATTTATCAACTTTGAGGTATAATTTGTTCGGCATAGGTACAATTTGAAAATTTAATTTTCATACGCAGTACGGAAAAGTATTTAATGACATCAGCGAGCAGATGGATGTTGTCAAATAGACGAAGAGAGGGTTAGCGGTCCGTGAATGGCGCCACCTTTGTTTTCTGCTACGTGGCCCCGTTGAAGCTGCCCTCCCCTTTGTAATGTGACCCAACTTGCTGCACCCGCTGTTAGAATAATAACTACTACATAATATGAAATACCCATGATCAACTTAAGTTGGTTCCACCTTTGACCTAATGCAGAATAAAAAAAAAAAAAACAAATTATAATTTTTTTCTTAGTTTTTTATTGCATTTTTATTAAGGTTTATTGCATTGTATTTGCAAATTTGCTATGATCAGCTAAACTTAACTGTAAACTAAAGCTCGCCTCTTAGCTGCCGACAAGTGAGCAGTTAAGGTTTTATTTTATTTTATGTATTTCATTTCTTTTTCTTCTATAAACGCCAAATACAAAAGTGCATATCAGTTTGCATACGATTCATCATTTTTAATATATTTGCATAATTTCTGAATGTACATACATATGTATGTATATTGAGCTATAAGACAATACCACGTCCTTATAGCAACGTGCAATCGACAAATTTGTTCTTCGGCCAGACACAGGTACATTTCTGCACATAAAATAAGTTTGGTAATTTTTTGTGGAATTTGGTAACTTTTTCTGGTGATTTTGGTAAAAAATAAAAATATGTTGTGGCAACACTGGCGCTTTCTAAACATTTTTATTAATAGTCACCAATATTTTGTTAAACTTTTTCGCATTTAAATTTTTTTAACCTTGGTAGCGGCTCCTAAAAATTGTTTTAAAATTTTTAAATTTTCTTGGAAGTCCTTAATTTGCACACACAACAAAATAAGTGGTTGCCTTATAATAAATTTAAATTTTCATATTTTAAGGACCACCCTAATGTGCATATATGCGTAAATATTTATATATTTTTATATAAAATTCATATGTTTTTATATAAATTTTCGTTTGTAGTGTTTTTTTCAAAATCAGTATCATTATTTCCTTATGTACTAAAATACTACAACTAAACTACAATAAACTAATTTTTTATTATTTCTGTCTGTTAATTACACAATTGGACGCATTGCATGCTTACATATACATACATATCTTGATATTAAATTGAGAAAACCGCCAATTAAAAATAATAAAAAAAAAATTCCCCAAAAAATATATAACAATCATTTACATTCTAGTCTTTTTAAAAGTATCAACCAAAATTTGTTTAATCTTGTAATATGTATTTTATTTTGGTACAAATTTTTATTTAAATTTTTTCAATTAAAAGTGTGTATATTGTTTGATATGATACGCTATATAATTCACTAGTAAGTCTACAGTTTACATAATTTTCAACAATTATCTTCATTACATAACTATCATTTCTAAAATTTGCGAGTAGCACTTTTTTACTTTTGTCAAAATTTTGCAGCATTTAGCCATTGACTTGCATATGTTTTTGTACCATCTTCTAATAGACTAAAACTGTTTAAATTGTTTGTATGTATGTATATAGTATCCAGTTGCGTATGTAAGTATATATGTACATTAGTGTGCGCCATATTTTTCAACTTTGACCTGGAAAGCAAAAATCTTGCTAGAAAAGTTCGTATGGTCATAAAAACGTGCTCTGCGAAAAGTTTTCGAAATATAAGTTTCAGATAGCGGAAATGTGTGCCTCATATATCCGAAAATCGGTGAAAATCCTAAAAATGCTTCCAAAAGTGGTAACAGTTGCTTATAAGGTATTGAGAAGTTTAATCTATTTTTATATCACTTAATGTTGTTCTGCCTGCTGAATCAATATACATATCGTGAAGCTCAAATCAAAATCAACGGTGATGGTAGTTAAATATTTGCAACGTTCTTAAAGTTAAAATGTTTTTTATAAAAAAAATTATTCATGCTTTAACGAAAACCATATAAATCAAACAGTCAATTTTAATACATAAAATTGTAAACTAAAATTTAACAGGATATAAAACTGCATGGTCAAAAATTTTATAAAAATGCATAATAAAAAAAAGTTCAAAATTTTCCCGAAAATTTGGTGAATTTCATTAAGCCATGTATAAACACTAAGACATGTATGTGTGTTTTATATGGTTTTGATTAAAGCACAAAAAAATTTTAATTTTTAAAACTTTGCAAATACTTAACAAAAATTACCGTTGACTCAGTTTGCCATTTCACGTATGTGAAAAAAAAATTATTTAACTATCAAAATCTAGAAAAAGTTCATTTTGTAGAAAAAAATACTTTGTAACGTCAAAACTTGAGGAACTATCAAAATGTTGTAGCCATATTTTTAACGGCGAGCAAAAATATATTAAGTAATACTGAAAAAAATTGCTTTTGTTATTGATTTATAGGCAAACTTTTCCATTTCATTTAAAATTTCAAAAATTTTATTAAGTTTCGGTCTGGGTTCAGTCTTGCTTTGTAGCTTAAAAATGTTTTTATTCACACAAATTAGGCGCACACTAATGCAAACACTTCAGTTTAAAATTTCATAGAGCTGCAATGGCATGCAATAAAAACAACATTTATGTATATACTTTTATATACATACATATAGGATTTCTGTTATCTAATTATTTTTCATTAATTTTTAATTTTTTGCCACCTAAAATTTTTCTTGATGCGATGACTACAACATTTTTTTTTGCAATTCGAAAATTTTAATTCATGTAAGTAATTTTTGCAGATCCATATTTCACAGCACAAATTTTCATTGACAAAGTATGCTTGCATTCCATATTGTTGTTGAAATTTTATTATTTTTCTTTTTGCAACTACTATACTATGTTTTTTAATGTTTTTTCCAGTGCATATGCATATTTTTTTCAATATTATTATTTATCAGCTAGAAATTTTGTCCAATGCATTCTGGAATATTTTAAAAGAATTAAAGAAAAAATTTAAATCTCAAATCCATATCTAAGTATTACGATATCCCAGATGTTTTTGTGCGAAATCCACTCCTAAATTTTTTTCCTTTCTACATAGAAGATAACATATCTGTGAAATTTCGAGATGGCCCCAGCCGACTTGACGTTAAATTTTTGGCTACGAACTTGTACTGAGACCGACATAACGCGAGACTTGGAGAGTTACAAATTTTGAAAGAAAATGTTCCAATTTTTCATCAATGATGCCGCATACTATATGTATGTACATACATATGTATTAGGCTGGGTCGATTTTGTATGGGGGAAAATAAAAGGCATTTGATGGTATTGTAATAGTTATATCATGTTGTCATATCTTTAGCCCGCGCAATTGAATCAAAGTTTATGAATTTTGAAAATGAAATTTTACCTGGTAATATATAGGGAACACGTTGATTGTTATAAACAAGACGATATATCAAATTAAAGTTTATTAAATTTAGTATCTCACGTTCATATATTATTTTTCAATAAGACTGCAAGTTATCGAGATATTTAGAAAAACTTATAACAACGATAGTTTTCCCGTATGAGTTTTCGATTCTTCATTACTTGAGTAACCAAGTGAAAATGTAAAAAATGAAACGAGATTTATTTCAAACATTTTTGGTTTTCGGATGTTTAGGTGTATAATTTTTAAGGGACCATGGTCTCGATCACACCGATTAGGTCAGTTTTCCAAATCGTGGTGAATGAAGTCAAACACGATTTTTTTAAGATTAGGAACCGTTTCATAAGTCAATATTTTGAGACTATATGATACATTAACAAAATACAATTGGGTGATATTTAGATATAAATATTTTAGTTAATTCAATTTTGTTGAAAAAGGACTGCAAGTAAATGCAATAGCCTTTAAAACATGCTGGGAAACCCTTTTTGAGGACTCTTCAATTCAACGAATTAATTTTAGCAAATATTACTCGATCGGTACGTAGTAATTACCTAATTGAAGGAGAGACTTACTGTTACTGATTTATGATAATAATAAGATGAAAATCGTTCAAATTATAACAAAATTATTGAAAAAAAAAAATTGAACAAAAACTCCTGCCAACTTCTTCTAATTGCGACCAAGGAATTGGTCAAAAATTTGTGTTTAAAACTTTTGAAAAGTTCCTTGCATACTAGTTTCAGGCAAAAAAAAAATTAATAACTGTAAACCTATTTGTGAAGGTCATTTTGAAGGTCAAGGTAATTCTTTTATCCTCCGAGACTCATTTTCCAGAATTTTCTATTCTATCATTTCCAAATCTTTAAAATACTGTTACATTTATTTCGTTATCCTTTCTCGTTCACAAGATGTTTGATTTTACTCCTTTTTATATAAAATAGAACACTGCGCGACCTAGGGGAAGGAATGGGTTGCCACAGACCCAGCAGAAATTTTGGATATGCATCAAGAGACAATCCAGTTGGCCTTGCTTCTCAACAACGAAAGCTTAGCTAATAGCAACACACGGTAAACTAAGGCTTCGGGACATAGGCTACATTGAATTTTTGATCAGTTTAAGGGCATTCAAGGAAAATGAAGAGCCACCTAGCGACCACCCACGGCGTGAGCATTTTAGTATCTATCACTTTTTAATCAAAAGTTAAACTTGAAGTGGGCTTGACTTTCTGAGATCATTCAGCAATGAAACTTTATATATACGTTATTTAGGCCAAAATGAGGACAGTTTAGGGGTAAAAAATGTACCACTTTTTTTCTGGGACACCTTAATGTGCATTTATTAGGCATACTTTGGCCAAAAGGAAAAAAATTCAGTGGGAAGAAGTGATACTAGTGTGATAAGCTCGAACGCGATTTTTCCTAAATTTTAAATTTTTTTTAGTAAGCGCCCCGTAATTTTTTGAGGTTGTTCCTAATATAAGTTTTGATAGTGCGGAAAATTTATTATTTCAGTTTTTGTCTTAAGAGGGGAAATACATTTTTCATATGCGCAGATTTTTATAAAAATTACCTACTAATATCTAAAATGTTTTGTCTTTTTTCACCACTCTCTCATCACCATGTTTTTTTTGCCAACTTTCACTAAAGTGAGATGATAGTTTTTCGCTGTTTTTTTTTTGTGCAAAACATATGCATTTGTTAAACTAAAATTGGAAAATAATAAAATTTCATAAGTCAAGGTTTTAGAAGTACATACTCGTAAACGGACTAAACAATTTGTTGGATTGGATGAGAACGAAAAGTGACACTGAAGTTGGCACTACGCAAAAACCGGTTAGTATCCAAACCAAATTTGACAAGGGATGATGGAAATTTGTTAAAAAATACATGAGCTAAAAAATGCTCAGGACAGAGAACCGTAATCAACTCTCGGATACATATGTACAAACATACAAAAGTATATATACAAATAATAATGTTTGGCAATGTACAAACTCCAAGTGTTTATCAGGTTATCTGGTTAAAAATTATTATTCGATAGTGTATTTTATGATTGTTAATTCAACCAAAAAAATAACAACATAATTTGATAATGATTTAAATTCTTTCAAAGCCTGGTAGAGACCCCTAAAAATTATTTTTGAATTTTGAAATTTTCGTGGATGCCTTGGCGCTCCATATAAAATTTAGATATTGATACTTTTTAAGGATTACCCTAATGTACATACATACACTCGGCGACACCTGATTACCTTCACTTACATTTTCTTAATAAATAGTTTCCATTTTACATGGCTTTCGCAAAAAATTTGTATGCGGAGAGGCCGCGATTACCACCACATATACTTTTCAGTGCCAGTATTAAAAAAAATTAGTAACGGTAAACAACAAACGTCGATTTTCTTGCACGTGAGAGGCTTGATTACCCTCACTTACTACTAAAACTATGCAAATTTTTTGTTATGCATATTACATACTTATAACTTCCAAGAAGTCTGTTTGGCCGTAAATATTATAAATGTTGAATAAAATTACATACTTTATAGTGAAATGAGTGCAATCTACATACATATATTATATCAATAAGTGCTGATGTGGAGTGGTACTGCGTCAGCTTTGCCACGTATCACTCGCGTCAACCATCCCCTTACATTATCAATAATGTTTAAGAAAAGGAAAATGAATGAACCCTGGTTATTTTTCCCCCAAACCACTGCTGAATCCTTCTCTCTGTATGAATGGCAGCGTTGTGCTGCTGAAAAATTTACTCTTGGTTGTTGAACATTTCATCAAAGTCAATTTCTTCGGTTTTCAACAGTTCGATGTAATTATTTGCATTTTGTCGAAACTCCAGAAGTCCTAAATTTATTCCCAAGTAATAAGGAATTGCTGTCATACCATCACCGAACCAACTGAACTGTGTCGTCGGTACAAATACCGCTCCGACGTTCTCAAATCGTGAAAATAGTGTTGCACACCATCCGAACCGTCAAAATCGAACTTTTTTCGTCAGGAAAAAAAAACATATGTACCTACGCAGGTAGAAGCATACGCGCGTACGTGGCGTTGAAGCAAATGTGGTTTATTTTGCATGCGCTATTATTATTCGTTGGATGATCTGTTGGATGGTGCAACTCCTACATTTGCCCTCTTTGTATGGCAGTTGACGAAGTATTCGACGATTCTCGCAAAACTGCGTGTTGTTCCCTCAACGTGGTTCTTCCATAGTTTTTCATATATTTCAACAATTTATTCATGTGCAATTCCACGGTTGGTCAGATTACTTTCCTTCAGGCCAAGGATTTTACCCCTCTCTCTCTAAATCCGTTTTACTACTATTGAAAAAACTCGCCCAAATTATTATTACACACTTTAGTATACCGTATGACTGCAATGTAAAAATTATCCTAAATATATTTTCTTCAAAGGCTACTATGGAACAATTGAAGTGAATGTGATCAAGTGTTGCGCTTGTAGGTGCGCAAAATAGCAGAAAAGAGCTATTTACCGTTATCATGAGCAGGTGCTTAGAATGTTGTCACAGGAAAATTGTTGCATCGTTAGTTGCCACTTAGAATGCACCCAAAAAAAATCTTAAAAACTTAAGTGAGGTTAATCAAGTGTCACGAAGTGTACATATGCAGTGTGGAAAAAATTAATAGAGACAAATTGTGGCTTTTTTTCTTTTGTTTATTTATCTAATATATATTTTTTTTTATTAAATTATCTAAGAAGCCCAAGTCCAAATTTAACACTTTGTACAAAAACTAGAAAAATTCGACAAAGGTTCATCAAAAGATCAAACTTTTTAAGGCGAATTTTTAGAAAAAAATTTGGTATGCATTTTCTTCATAATATGTTCGACAATTGTTTTTTTTGTCTGCAGAAAAATAAAACCACCGTCTTCATAAATAGTAAAACATAATGTAGGTTGGTAAATAAAAGGTAGGCTGGTATTGAAAATGGGCGAAGTCGGACGAGTACTAAGCTCGCCTCCCATATAACGGTAAATGCAAGTAAATGGGTTCAAATGACTTTATAACTTTAAATTTCATATTCAGATGGCGAAAAAAGTTTATGAAAACGCGCAACGAGAGATAACTGAAAAAAAATAAATAAAAATTTAATCAAATGTGTATTATTAGTTAAAATATTAAAGTGCCACGTCCGAATGTTACGTCCGTTATCACATTCTAATTCAAAATAAAACCAACAACGAATTGCTTCTATTAAATATAAATGGGTTGTAACGGTGTATATATATAAGTGACTTACGTTTTCCTATGATTTATTTTATTCTAGTGTCGTACGATTGTGACGTCCGACATCATGCAAACACGCATATGTAAGGGTTAATGTTTTTTTCAGCACAATTTTTTTTCTTTCTAAAACTTCCCTCCTGGAACTTTTTGTACCAAATTTTGACAAAAACGATATTTTTCTTGGATTTCACTATTCCTCATCATCTCCTCATAGGTATATTTATTTTTAAAAAAGTCATATGCCTAATGTACAAACTTAATTCACTGTGTACACAAAGTAAATAGAAATATGAAAGCTGTCATCATTGCTAAAGGCCCTAGAACTTTGCGAGTTGACAAAATATACCAGTAAATCTCCTCCTTTTAAGCTTGAATATAAAGGTTCATAGGCAGGCAAATACAAAAATATGTACATACATACATATGAAGTTAAATAACTGATTATTACAAAATAAAGTGTGTTTCATCCTAAAATAGAGCAAGAAAAAATTAATTTAAGTACAATTTTGCTTTCGATACTTTATCCTAAAAAACTTTAACCATCAAACTAAGAAAGAGTTAATTTTTAGGAATGACAAAAGTTAAAGGAAGTGAAACATTGGCGTGCAACTCCTACCAAAGCTGAGCTGATTAAGCACTGCAAGTTAAAGTCTACGAGATATTTTGGCGATATTTCAAAAGTGAACTATTTTTTACCATTGTAACTTATAAAATTCACTTGCATCTACATATGTATATTTTTTTTATAATATTTCCTTTTAGAAAATTAGAAAACTTCCATTTTTATAGCATTTCTAAATAAGTATTCTAACTGATTTAAATTCTTCAACGCAAAGCTTCCACATCTTTACGGCTCGTTGCAGGCGACGCATTATGCGCTTCACTACGCCTCTCATTCGTGGGCAGCGTCGTCGCCGCCGACGCTTCACACTCATCGTCGCGCGTTGTACCCATCAACTCGTTGCGCTCATCGTCGATTTGAATTTTGTGATGAGAGATTTTGCGCGCATGTGCGTGTTTCAAGTGTAAGGCTGCCGCTGCCGCGCCGCCGCCGCCATGCGCTGGCGTTGACGCATTACTGCTGCACGCAGTGCTACCGCCCAGCTCATTGCGTTCATTGCTCGTGCAGAGCGTGTAATTTAAGTCTTTGGAGTTGGTACGCCGATGGCGTAGTATACTTAACGCCGCCTCGGCGACATTGTGCGCTGCGCCAACCACACCACCACCACCACCACCACCACCACCGCCGCCGCCGACACTACCGCCGATCGCGTTTGCACTACTACTCGACGTTGCAGTTGTGCGTATGTTCAAGTCCTTTGAATTATTGCGTGAATGGCCGCGTGAGCTGACCGCTGTTGCTGCCGCTTCCAGTTCATTTGAATTCTTCACGCGATTCTCTTCTCTATTCACATTCTTTAGCACATTCACATTCTTATTCTTATTATTGTGATGATTCCGAAAGAAATCGGCATCAAAACGTATATTATTGGGCATATAAATCTGATCGTAGGAATGATTGCGTGAATGTTTCTTGACGAAATGACCGCAGCCAGTCGTCAGCTCGTCGTCATCCTCCTCGTCCTCTTGCGGCTTGAGCTGATTTTGTATGTAGCGTATATTTAGTGCGCCAACACCGGCATCATCGCGAGAATTTGTGCGTGAATGGGTAAGTTTGTTGCGGAAATCACTATTTAAGTCGCTGGAATTATTGCGGGAATGTGTTTGAAACCGTTTTAAGCTCTTGATCTTCATGGGCTCATGTAAGCCAGCGTCTGTTGTAGCAGGACCTGTTGTGATATTTTGATCCTTAGAGAAGCTGCGTATCATTTTGACATCACACGATGCGCTGCGGAAGTGCTTTTTTGATTTAGTTTGTGGTGTTGAAAGACCCGACGAGTTGATGGCATTATTGCACTTGTCATAGCTGGGGGAGAGAAACGAAGAAGAGATTTAAAACAAATATTTTTTTCTAATAAAAATACGTACCCATATTCCAATTGTATAGTGCGTGAATCGTTTCTCGAGTGCCTCACGACATCCGATGTGAGTATAATCTCACCGTTACTTCCATATGTTGGATTCGTTTCATTTGTCGCCAATTTCTCTTCGAATACTGTAGCGTAAAATAAATAAATTTTTGTTATCTTTAGGAACGTTCAGTTATTTTCTTGGGATACTACTTACATTTATCCAAACTAATTATAGATCCGATTATCGGATCATTCGCGCTGATAGGCTTTAATTTCTCTAGCTGCTTTCTTCGCCGCACCAACCACCAATCAGCGATGAATATTGCAAGAGCAACGATCTTTACAGTTGCGCAGAGACCAACATATCTGAAATTTACAATATAAAATTTTAATACGATTCATTAATAATATTTGTACAATGCCTTAATGTCTTATAGTCTTACAAACGTAAATAAGGCCATTAATAAGCTTTTCAAGAAAACCTTGTACAGTTCGGTTGTGGCGGTTTCTCCAATTGAGTGGCATAAAGGTGCATATCACAATTCTAAAGTGAAGCGAGGCCAAGCATTAAACGAATGTGTGAAGCCGCGATCTTAAACTCCATATCTAATATAACGCTACAGTAGCTATTATTATTAGCGGTCATTTCTCAAACGGCAGCGCATAGCCTATAATGAATATCGGTTGGTCACCAAATTCCTGTGCAGTGCAAACAAATGGGGTCTTAGTCCCCAATTTATTCGCCGGATATATATTTGCCTTATTTCAAGTGTGGTGCGTTGATGTGATAGCCGAAGGCGGCCTCGGTGGAAAAATGACTGAAAATGCGTAGGAAGGCGTTGCTACCCAACCTGCGAAACTAATCTTCCGGATGCGGTTTCGGTGCATCACCCTTACCGACAGAGCGTTGATAAGCAATTCTGCGTAGCTGAAACCTTCCATGCCGCGAAACGTTGTTGTTGTAGCGGCACTACCAAGCCCCGCATAGGTCCATAAATTGTGGTCGTCAAGCTTAACTAACGGTAAGAGGTGGTTGGTGTCGTGGGGGGGTCTCCACGTGCCGGACACTAATTGGGAACCTCGGGGTTGAGTCTAAACAAGTAGCTATTCAGACGTCTACAATATCCTGACCGAAACTGGGCCCGAGTAGTCGAAGCCCCGCGTGTGTAAAAGGTGGGGATTGGGCTTCGATCACGGCATTCATACGTTGGGAGTTGTCGTAGGTGGTGACCGACTCCCTATGAATGTCGTTGATCACTCTTCGGTACGTTTTTTGTTGCTGTATACTCAGCCCTGCTAGGATACTCAGCCCTGCCTAGATCGGCTTGTCACTCAATCGTTGCAACCCGGACTGGTTTGGCATATAGAGACAGGGGCGCTAGTTGAGTTGGGTTTAGGTGGTATTCGAAGAGGTGTCGCGAGTCGTGAGGTGACTCTTCGCGTGCTGGACACTCGTTGGGCACATTTGCATTTATTCTACTCAGGTAGATCGTCGGTACGTAGTCGGGTCCAGTGGTTGTTGTATGAATGTCTGGACCACGTCCATGTTCTCGAAAAGATGCCGTCTGATGTGCCCTGGGCGGAGGCTCTTTTTCAAGCAGGCGTCTGTTGAGATGCTCACGGCTGCGAATAGCATTTGGGCCTTGCTGTATAGGTGGTAATCAGGTGACATCAGAAGGCATCTTATCGCTATCTGAATGCGGCGTTCTGACAAGTCTGAAGCTTCGTTCACTGCCTCCTACTTGTCCCCATCGACCAAGCAGACGCAGCATAGTTTAGAACCGGCCGGCCAATTGCCGTGTATGCTGCCAGTAACGTTTCTTTGTATATTCCCCAGTTGCTACCAGTGAGCGACTTGCGGACCTTATTGCGGCTATGTACTTTATTGGCAATTGCGGTTGTGTGCGCGGATAAGGAAAGCAGGCTGTCAAACTGAACCTCTAAAATTATCGGGTTGTTGACCGTTGGAATTGGTGTGTCATCGACGTGAATGCCTAGATTAAGCCTGACGTCCTTCGTCCAGGTGGTGAAGAAGGTCGCCGTTGATTTCGTGCGGGAGAGGGTTAGGCTCCTTGCAGTGAAGAATTGAGTGAGTTTGGTTGAGGCCACGTTCCGTCTTGGTGGTAACAATACCGCAGTAATAATCTGATTCGATAGCCAGCAGGCATGCCCGTCCGTCTTGACTTGGTAGGATATAAAGATGCCAAAGGCAACGAAAAAGCAGATGCAGCAGCCGCAGCTGGTTCGGTGAAGAAATTCACATAATAAGTTATATTTGGTCACAGAAACACTATGACTACTGGCATAGTCACCACACCCGCCGGCCACTACTGGCGTAGGGCTATATGATTTTTAAATGAGTGCCTAATCAGATTTGGTGTAAGGGACTCAACCTAGAAGACGACGAGATTAGGTTCCATATACATTGGAGGATGTCCAGTCTTCGAAAGAATAAAACATGCGTGCTTCGGCAGGAACATCCTTCAAATAATGTATTTGCTTTGTTTGAAAAAAGCGACGTTTCGCCTTGTCGAACTTCAAATAGTTTATGAACTTGGATTGCTCTTTATATGACAAGAGGGAAGCACTTTGCCGAGGTAAAAATGGCAAGCATCTAAGAACCTGCGACAATACATCGCTCACTACAATAAAAAATAACGCAACACACTTACTTATATCTGAATTTCTCGATGTCGTAGATTAAGCAACGTCCACCCTTCTCGCCACATGTTGACTTCCAAAGTAAGCACGTTGAATCAATGAGATTACCAAATAGTATGGGCGCCGGTATGTAACCGAATAAACGGAATATTACAAATTGCATGCCCAGCGCAAAGGAACGCTCCTCCTCCGAAACTGAACGCAAAACAATCATTAGCAATGGCATTTGTGTAGAGGCCACAATGAAGGTCATAAAGAATAGTAATATAAGGAACGGATAAATGGTGCGGCATGGGGTGGCGCATGGACCGGCAGTTGCAACAGGAACCACGGTTACTTCGGCAAAATCTTCGTTGGCATTCAATGCTTGAGCTTGACTGCCGCCAGCGCCCATATAAATGCTGCTCGATATATTCGAGTGAACACCTGTGGAAACGAAACAAAAAAGAAAGGTATTGAAAAATGTCTACTATAGTGTCAAGAAAGAGCAACAACTTACAAGCACAATTGGTGTAGTTAGAAGTGGATGAGAATGCAGTGCAGCCCGCATGGCAGGGACTAAAGTACGTCAGCCCATTGTTACCACAAACCGGTTCCACGTCGCTAGTTAGACATTCACAGCCGAAATTGCAGGCCGCTGTGAGATTTACTTGGAATGGTTCGATGATACCATTTTTGGCGCTGCGATAATAGGGAATCGTAGTGCCAGCCATTTTCAGATTATCGCAGCCAAGGAAAAATAGCATAGCGTATAGACCAAGGCAGATGGCATTAGAAATTATAACAAATTGCACCGCACCCTTGGGCTTCAGCTGAAAACGTTTCAATATACAGCCACCTATGAAAATGCCAATACAGGCGCCGGGCACTGCAATGGAACCGGTAAATACACTAGCTTGACTTTTGCCCAAACTGAATTGAGTTTCCAAATATTTTGGCAAGAACACTACAAAACCGGATACAATCCACAATTCCATACACGCGCCCAGGCAAGTCACGATGTAAACGGGATTGCTGACAAGTCGCAACATGGATTGGGGTATATCTGAAATGATAAGAAGGTTGGTAAGACATACATTTTGACTCGCTTAAACAGTGATGCCACTCGCCACTCACCTTTTATATCCTTTCCATAGCCGGTATCCACTTGCGGTTCGTCATCTTCCTTCGCATTCACAGCCACTATTTCCTTTTTCACTTTACCTGCAGGATCAGTGCCACGTGGAAGACTATTGGAATTATTAGGCACAGCAGGTTGCATCACCGAGCTTTTCCGTATCTTCTTCTTTTCGCTGGTAAGAACCTTAGGAAAGGAGAAGAATGGCACTGCCACAATCAGCAGCAGAACGCCGCATAGCAGGAAACCACCCCACCACATGCCAACCCAGCGTCGATCTCCGGGATCTGGCAAACAAACAAAAGTTGTGAGTACTCTTTCTAGCAAATTCTTTACTTTCAGTCTTACTTATCGATATAATAGTGGACGATAGTGAATCCATGTGAAACGATAATAGGTAAGCACCGAGCAGAAATCCCAAGACCGGACCAAATGCTGCCATACTGTACATACAGCCAATGTACATCGATGAACTTTCTGTCTTAACATGATCATCCACATAAGTAGTACCGAGTGTGAAGAGTGGACTACCGCCACAACCCAGCAGGAGTTGTGCAATGACAAAGAGTAACACCGGCCCGAACGTAGACAACTTACCCTCGAGGCAATTATCTTCGCGTAGTGTATGTGGCGCCAATGGTGGATTCGATAGACCACTCGATAGTCTACCCAAATCCATATCTTGGTCACGCACCAGCGCACTACGACATATATTGTCACTGGAATCATTCATTATGGCAACGCCGGGATTTGGTTCACCAGTGAAATGGGGCACCATGAACACAAGCGAGCCTATGCCCATAATGGCGGCACCTGAAAATATATTAGAAGATAGAAAGAGGTTTAGTAAAATATTCGTATCAGATAGTAAAGAGTGACTCTATCTTGGGTCGCAAGTTTATTAAGATTTATGTTAACGCTTTTAGGACGAAGGGTAATATATTTCCCAAAAACTTACTCCATCCCTAAGGAAGTTCATTGTTTTTATTAGTTAAAATTTTTTATAAATGTATAAATTTAGCTATTTTTATCATAAAACTTAAAAAAAAATGTACATATATATTTTTGTCAAAACTAGAAAAATTTATCATTGTTAGAGTTTTTTTTGCAAATAGGATTTTTTTATAAAAAATGGTTTTAAGAAAAAATAATTTTATGGAAAAAACATTAATTGGAAAAATGAAAGAAATATCTTTCATTAGGGCATGAATGTAGCTACCCGCGCTGTTGATATTTTTCCGTGCCGAAACCAGCTCCAGGGTTATTAGAGATGTCATATATTAATAATGTCCAAAGAGAGAAAAGACTAAGGGTTTAGCATAACAGACCGCTTTGTCACACTTTTATATTGACCCTATGTCGGGAAGGAACCAAAGATTGAATGAGTTTGGGTGCAGTTCACTGCACATAGATAGATACTCGAGGACCGCAAACCCAGGAAACTTTTCGGGTTCTGCAGACCGTCGTCCAGCTAACTTAATAATGTCTGACCTAATCTCTAAAATTCATGTTATTGAAAGGATAATTGCATACACCGACGGTATTGTAATAGCAATCTTCGGTAAACATCTCTTAACATTGGCCGATCTGATTCAAAGAACTCTCAACAGCCTATCACTGTGGTGTAGCAGGCAAGGACCACGATCCAGAAAATAAAGATCGCGCCATTCGCGGACCGCTAGCCCTCTCTTCGTCGGTTTGACAGCATCCACCCAATCGGCGACGTCATAAAATACTTTTGTTTACATTCACTGTTGCCAACTTGATGCTTTTCGCACCAAATTTATTGAGTATTCAAAACGCGAAAATTTTTGATTTTTGTGCTTAGTGCGTTTTAGGTGCTTTTGTTTTTGGTTTGAAGACATCAAATTAGAAAATCTTAAAAAAAATGGAAGCAAAATTTATAGCCAGAAGAAATCGACCGTTGTGCAAGGAACATTGATTTTTATTAATTTCAATCGGCATCCTTACAATAAAATTATGTATTCATATAAAGTCCATAAAATACAACAATAAAAATTTGGTGCTTTTTCAAATTCAAAACTTGGCAACACTGCCTTTTGTTCGATGCTTCCTCTTTTTCTTGTCGAGCTCGTCTTGCTCTCTCATTCTGGTATATTTTGACGTCACGGCCAGTTGCTCTCAGCTCGATTGGCGCAATCTTGTATTCTATCATTCTTGGGCAAGGACTGGGAATGAATCCTGAAAAAAAACGAGCCTTGTACTCTTCACTAGGGGAGTAAACAGGGGTAAATTAAAAAAAAATGGATAAAGTCCAAATGATTGCGTCCACACTTTTAACTGGTGCGATGAGAATAACAATTCGGCAATTCGAATAAACATTCTAAATAAGTGGTCAAATATTTGTTACGGTCACGGTTATGTTCCGGAGCTTCCCGGATTGGTGGACTATGCTTTCCCGAAACCTGCACCCGCTTTGCGATTTACGATCCTCCTACCCTGAAGGGAAAAGGGGAAACAAGACGCTGTAAGGAGTGGAGAGTCTATTCACAGATGGCTCAAAATTCGAGGGGAGGGTACGGACTACTGTGGCGTTTTTCAGGTGTAACTGGTAAAGTGTGATATGATACTCTTCCATGGTGATATCTACATATTCACTGACAGCCAGGTAGCAATAAACAACCTCCATATTAGCCATCTCTTAATGAGATGGCTGAGTCATTTCGCCCAAAGTTGATATGGGTTCCGAGACACTGCGACATATAAAGAAACGGTAAGGCCGATGAACTCCGCGACTTGGAACAAACCATCCTATTGAGGATATAAACGACGAAATAGGAATACTCTTAAAAACTTGCAAGTTACTTATCACAATGAGCCCTGAGCCTGAGTGTGTCTTATAGATAGGGTTCGAAATTTGAGACTTTGGTATCGTTACTGAGTACTCATTCTGCCATCGAGCTCACGGTATCGATACTCTAAAAGTATCAGGTAAAAAGTAACGATACTACTTAGTATCGGACTCAATGAAATACGTTGTTTGGGATACTAAAGTTATTTTATTCTTCAATCGTATATCTAGTTATTTCCTAAAATTAAAACAAGAGAGATTTAAAATATTTGATTTTCATTTCATTGCAGAACTTCCTTTCACGTTAGAACTAATTTTAACGTTAAATGTACATACATACATACATATGTATATACCTCACGAATTTCATATTTTATTACGAATTTTCGTAAACTTTTTGGGTATGCATTTTTGTAGCCTATTCAATTTTAGTATAATAATATACAAGTTTGAATTAAAAGTCAACGGTACTAGGCTAGACGTAAAGTTTAATAGGTTACAAAACTGTATACCCAAAAGTTTTATAAAAATTCTGCATTTTCGTGAACTTTGCGTAAACTTGTATGGCCTTATTCATAAAAAATAAATGAAATATGTAAGGAAACGTAATTTTATTAAGCTTTTTAAAAGTACTTTATTTTTTATGATTAAGGCCATTAAACTTTAAGTTATTTGGTTTATGTTATGCAACAGACTACATGAAATTTCAGTTTATTTCAAGGAATGAAACCGAAACCCAAACCGAAACCGTAACCGTTTAAAACCGTTTCGTTTTTCAAAACCGAAACCGAAACCGTAACCGTTATCTNGAATCAGCTGTTTCTCGACTTGTGGGCACGAAATGTGGGTTTTTGCGTTTCCGTACTTCTGAACTATGTTCCATTTTTGAAAGAAAATGTTTCTCTTATTCTCTAATTACCAAATCCGGTCCCGATTGTTAGGGAAAGAACCTAGTGTTGATATTATCAGTGAACTGTAATTTTCGATTTTCTTTCTCAACGTTTAAGACATTGTGATTTAAATAATATTGACAAAATTTCTGTGAAAAACCGAAACCGGAACGAAACCGAAACCAAAACCGAAATAAATTTTGAAGAACGAAACCAAAACCGAAACCGAAACACTTGGCAAAACCGAAACCCAAACCGGAATTCCTTGGTTTATTTTAAGTGATAGACAAAGCAAAGAAAATTGGGTTGCCAATGGAAGAAAAAATTTAAAAAGGGTGTTTTTAAAAAAGTTTTCGATACTACGAGTACTTTGCAAAGTATCGAGTAAAATCACCAAATAAGGTATCGAGTATTAAAGTACTCATTTGTATACCCCCAGTATCGATGCTTACTCAATATCGATAGTATCGTTCGAACCCTACTTATAGACAACCGCGACAACCTAACCTAACCTTACGTGTGCTTAAATGTACATTAAGACTTGATTGAAATAACTCCTCTAGACAATCTAGTCACTGGGAACTAGTTGGACGTAGTGGCCGAAGCCTCAGACTTGCCAGAACGCCGCACTGTGGATCATCTGGTTCTGTTTCTCGCAATCGCTTTGAGATCCTTCCAGCTTAACACGAGTTGCCCCGCCCCTCGATCGACTGTTCATCTACGCATTAAAGGGGTTCATTCTAAGGCCTTCTTAGCAATACTTCTTTACGCATAGTGTGGCCTATGCACTTGCGTTTCTGTCCCGATGACACGGGGCTTCATGTTAGCCCTTCTGAGCAACTGAATTCTCAGAAGGCAGCTTCTTGTTGGATGGTACCGTAGCAAGTATCCTAACAGAAACCGATTGTCATTACCGATTTGTCATTAACCGCCCACTTATACCCACTCAGCTAAAATCCCCATCCCTTTGGTCTGACCCGATCAAAAGAGCACCTGATTAGTAGTGCCGCTACAACAACAACAATCCTACAGGTAAACAAAGATTTTTCAGGACAAAAATCTAAAAAAAATATTATACTAACCTATTCCAATCCACACTGGTATATGACGTCGACTACCCAGATAGCTCACGAATATTACGGTTATCACATTGCCAATCTCATAGCTTGAGGCTATCAGTCCAGAATAACTTGATGGTATCTCGAAACGTTTCTCAATCGTCGTAATAACTGAATTTATGTAACCGGAACTCAAAGCCTGCTGCAGTGTGACTAGAATCGACAATAACAGAACGAACACTTTGATGCGCGCGAATTTTTGTATACGACGCGGCCTATAGTTGAGTATACCACAATCACGTGATTGCAAATCGTCATCATTCTCATATTCAGAATCGTAGAGCATAGCAGTTGCATTATTGTTGCTGCCGGCGCCATTGGAAGCGCCCACAGCAATATTCGCAGACGGTTGCCGGCTGTGGCTCTTCGCCAGAGTCTCGTTGCAACAGCCGCCACCACCGCCGCCGCCACCACTGCCACAGACGGACGTGGTTTGATGCTGGCTGTTATTGTGTGGGTGCGGATGATGATTATGATGATGGTTGTTCTGATGTGTTGATGGGTGGTAATGATAATTATTGTGACACTTGCAGGTGCTGGTACGCGACAACGCGTTGGCGTTTGTGTTGGTATTATTCGCGCTCGACGCCAAACAGCCGCCGCTGCAACCGGTCAGTTCACCCAAATTGATCTGAGAGTCCTGTGTGGCAGCTTCGACGCTGCTATCATCGCCGCTGGTATTCGTTTCCGAGTACAGGCCCGTCATCTGATACATGGACTCTTGCCGTCTGCAAATAGAAAATAGATAAATAAGTTCATTAAGTACATACATACATACATACATATATACATGAATGGATGTCTTAATGTGTGTGCGCTAACTTAGTCCTGGTTTGTCATAAGGTAGATAATGTATAATCTTGAGCGAAATACTCGCAATACCTAAGCGCTCGATAATCCATGTAAAGCGTTTCGAATATTTGTAATTGATTAAAATGCGCTCCTGTTTGTAATTTCAAGTATTTGTTAATTTCAAGTATTTGTTAATTTCAAAATATACTTTAATGATTTTGGCACTTCAAATGACAGCTACAAATTAACGAGTAAAATTATGCGATTTGGGGTAAGGTTGCTTTGAAAGGGCGAAAATTTCAAATGCAGAAACACATAGAAGAGTTTAAAAGTTGGTTTGTAACGGTTATGGTCCTTATAATTAAAATCAAAACTCAACCGTTTAAATTATACTTCGATCGGATTTAATCGTTATTTTACGATTTTCAACCAAAAATAATTACAAATTGCAAATCAGTAACATGTATTTTATTAAAAAAAATGCTTTAAAGCGGTCATAACAAAAAAATTGAGGTGAAAACCGTATGGTAGTCAGTTACTCTAACGCGCACCACGATCTTTGGCATTCAAGCCTGTCGAATAATCGTAGGGAAACGCACCCACCAGGATTATGGGCAGGTGCAGTAGCTCGCCTGATATAACAATTGTAAGCGCTGATCTGATAAACAGCATAAGGCGGTGACCTATGCTGACTCTGGAATCATTCCAAACCAACCGACATTCACGTAGGTGAGCGTAAGTTCCGCAGCGTTGTCACTGCAGCTACAGCCTGATTTATTCCAGCAAGATGCATTTCGGGCCCCCGTCTGAATTTTCCCGCTACAGCGGTTGTCGTAGCCGAGGAGTGTGTTAACCTTCGGCAAGTCGATCCCGGAAATTTCCGTATCATAAATCTCAATACGGAGATTCGGCAACTAGTAAACGCACGTAAGCGAAAGAAGTGGGAAGAGCATCTGAAGACCTATAACTTCGCCTCTGGTGTGATAAAAGGTCATTGTACAATCCGATAAAGCGTACTGACAACCGTCAGTCACTCCATGCTACTAGAAGGCATTGAGGCTTCCTATCTCCCACAGTGATTCAAACGGTGATCAGCGAATTATCTGAGTGGCCACCATTCGTCAGTAATTTTTAGAGACAAAAAAGCAAACCGCAAAATATTTAACGGGGGGTTTCACAGGGTGGTGTCCTTTTCCCGTTGCTTTTGAATTAAATACTATATATCAAAACTCCCTCAACCACCAGAGAAAGTCTCGATTGTCCCTTATGTTGACGACTGCTCAATAATGGCGTCAGGAATGGAATTGATAACCTGTTCTCGAAAGTAAACGGTTACCTCTCCGAGCTTTCTCGGCTCTTCACTGCAAAGATCCTAATCATCTGCCCTATGAAATCCTCGGCAACCCTCTTTACCACCTGGACGAAGGAGGTAAGACTGCAGCTGAGTATTCACGTCGATGGCGAACCAATTTCGACGGTGAATAACTCGGAGTTACCTTCGACACTCTGCTCTCCTTCTCGGCGCATGCAACCGCAATTGTCAACAGAGTACAGAGCGCAAAAAGGTCCTCAAGTCTCTGGCCGGCAGCATCTGGGGCAAAGACAATGAAGCGTTAGCCGTCATCGATTCGCCTCTTCTCGCTCGCTATGTTTGAGTTCCGGTCGCTTAAAGAAGAATTTTGCATGTGAAAGCAACAACAAAGTTAGCTAGCACGGATAGACGATAGCGAGATTGGTTGTACCTCATTGAGTTCGTTCGTTTCGCCACTCGCTAACTACTGGCGAATCGATGACGGCTGTTGTTGAAAACATACAAGGCAATTTGCCAGCTGGTTCTCGCCAAGGCGCGTCAGGAGGCATCTCTACGAACTGACGGACGAAGTCCAGAGGTTCATAAAACAACCTCTGGACTTAACTGCATAGCGACAGGCCTTTAACGGCATTCACAGGTATTCGGTCTCGAGGTGTATAGACTATCGACCTGTGAATGCCGTTTTAGGCACACAACTACCCGACATGAACGGGATAGAACTTGGTCTGCCTCGTGAGACTCGCACCACACCGGGGTTTAGTAGTCGATACAACAACAACAACAAAAGAATGATTGAAAATTGGTTATCCCAATTAATGGGTTAAAAATTAGCGAAAAATATAAAATTCAAAACAAGTAATTTTTAAGCAAAAAACAAAACCGACTTCAATTCTCAGATAAAAATGTAAGAATATCGCTAATTTCTTAATGGTTAAGCCATCAAATATTATGCGGCAACATACATAAAAAAAAATTCCGACGAGTTGATAACCTCCTCTTTTTTTATCATGAAAGATTATATCAGGAAGCACAGGAATCAAATGGTTTCAAGAGCGGGGTTGGCTCCTGTAGAGAAGAAGATGGAAATCTACCCAGAGTACATTTGAGATGTGGGAGGAACGTTTCTCAGCGCTTCCGAATGGCAACACAAGTGGCGCGTTTGATGAAGACGAACTCGAACCAATGTATAGGAACGAAGCTTCTGTTTCTCCACTAGACCAAGACGAGGTGAGAACAGTAATAAGGCAGACAACAAAGACCCCGCAGACAACGACATAACGCCTGAGCTGTTCAAAACCGGCGGCGAAGAGCTGGTAGGGCGCATTTACCAGCTACTTATTTAGATTGGAGCCTCGGTGTACTTTGTCCATTTCACAAGAAACTAGATCCCGCCGTTTGTGCCAATTATCGCGGAATAAGCCGTTTTAATATTGTGTACTAGGTCGTGACGGCGATACTGTGTGAAAGACTGCAGCCCTTCACGAACCAACTGTGCCGACCTTATCAGTGTGACTTCAAACCAGCTAGATCCTCCATTTACCAGACTTTAACAGCAGGCCAAATTCTGAAGAAGACAATCGATATGCAAATCGACAAACACCATATTTCTTAATAATATAATAGATTGGCACTTACACATATGTTAGTGTTCGGCCGAGCTTCTCCTCCGACTTGTGGCGTGCGCCTTGATGTTGTCACACAAAGCGGAGGGACCTACAGTTTTACGCCGACCCCGAACGGCGATTGTATTTTTATGAGAAGCTATTTTTCATGGCAGAAATACACTCGGAGATTTGCCATTGCCTGCCGAGGGACGATCACTGTTAAGAAAAAACCTTTTTCTATATTTTTTGGGATGTTGCTTTGACCAGGGCTTGAACCCAGGTGCTGATGTATGAAAGCGCGCACTGCTTACCACTACACCACAGCGGTCGACATAATTAAGCACATAAATATACAAATATTTCGCTGGCTTAGACATGGATGACGACGCTCCAGTGAAAAGATCCATCGACTCGGCACCCATTCATGAATGGACACCGAAAGAAAGGCAGAAAGACCTCTCCGCCCTTGGGATGAACAACTGGCGCAATTAGAGAGGCAACTGGCGAAGCTTTTTGGTCTCAGCCCAAACCCTCAAACGGTTGCTACAAACCACTAGTCAAACCTGGAAGTACCTACTTTAAAAATCAAAATAACGATTATTTAAATGTTCATAAAATTATCCCTTTTATTACGTACAATCAAGGTGCGGCTGTACTGAGTAGTCAAGTCGGGGAAGGGGGTCATCGAGCTCCTGATTGAAAGCTTGCCACCATATTTAAATACTAATTTCTTTGCTCTTCGAACTTACGTTTTTTCTTTTGTGCTATTTGGAGGATATGTATACACGTGGTCATACATATTAAACTTAAACATAAGTATGTTTGCACGTTTCATTGCAATTTTGTCGCCGTATTGGAAAACGATTATAAGCAACTTTTTAGACGGGTAGAATAATGATAAAAAAATAAATAAAAAAAACTACGTAGCTCAAAATAAATAAAAAGGCTCACCACGTAATTGAAGCGACCCTGAAAGCCATAACCCCACAAACATATTCTGAGCGCTCAGAATATATGAGTCGGAAAGGAGTCCTAGGTAAGTAAGAAATATAAGCTTCAAAAACAAATATTTTTTTACTCTTATATGAATCTTTTAGGAGTCATATATGATCCAAGTTATGAGCCAGCACTTTGTGCCAGTATAAAAACAATAACGACTAGAAATTTATATCTAAACTTGTTTATACAGATACAGAGAGAAAAATAAATAGGAAGGAAAAATAAACAAAATTTAGCTGCAGCAACTGCTATTACATGAATTTATGAGGCCAATAAGAGTCATTTAAGAGCTTCAAAAAGAGTCCAAAATGAGCCGTATATGAGGCCAATAAGAGTCCAATATGACTCATATTGAGGCTCATTTGATGTATGAATTTAAGCTTATATAGGTCGACCTTCGCAGGAAGGGAAACACCGTCATTTCGGACTCTTAAATGAGCTCATTATGAGCACAAAGGCTCCGAAATGGGACTCCTTAAAGACTCATTTATGACTCCAAATGTTTGCTGGGAAGTACCTACCTTCTGTAAGTACATCGATACATTTGTATGTATATATTTATACCCAAAAGGGCAAGAAATCGTACCCAAAATATTTAAAATAAATGTACCTATTTGAAATATTGATTTTTTGAGTTTCCTTATGAAATTGTTTTGGTATAAAACCTGTTCATGAGGTTTTTACCTAAACAATGTCTCACAGTAAATAAGTAAAAATTTATCAACAGAAATTAAAAGGTTTTGGCCCACAGTGGAATTGAAAGCATCATAAAGTGTAAGCATGCTACCGTGTGTTATTTATTGGTTATCGAGGGAGCTGCCCACGAATTTCTCGATGCCAAGGCCATTCTACTGGTGGTGGGATGGTCCTCATGCATCTTGAATGCGACATTTCATCGTCATTATCTAAGACTTTCGTAAAACTTAGGGCCATGAAATGCGTATTTTCTCCCTTCTCTTGGTACCCGTGGAGGATTACATCATAACCTGACAACAGGTGTGTGATCGAAATACTTATGGAT